CATAAAATCAAACAGGTATCCTCTGAAAGTAACATTACACACACACACACACACACAGGGAAAAAAAAAAATATTTAGATTTTAGATTACGTTTCAAAGGGACATTTTTTTAACGTTTTGTGTGTTACCTTTATTTATCAAATATCATGTTCTTTGCACTTAAACCATAAAATTCAGTTCAATAGCAATGTCGCAAAATAATTTTAAAATTAACATATCTTTAGAATTTCCAATACACAGTTCCCTGTGCTGGAGATAAAAAGGCTTGACGGATAATGTGAATTTTTTGTTGCTACTAGATGTAGCCCTATTTCTGTTATAGTGGAAGTTATTGAGACTGGAGAATGTTGACCTTTGTTCCATTGCAGTATTTTTTATTTTTGGTATTTTCTTTGAGAATGAAAGAGGGAATTCTAGGGATAATTAATGTAAACAAACAAAGCTGGCTATTAACTGTGTCAGGTGATATAAACACATGCACTTGTTCTCGATGCTTTTGAACAGTGCTTAAATTGCGTTGGAGCACACCGGAGCCTGGCTCCGGTGCTTCTCAATTTTTGAAATAAATTACAATTATAGCCGGAGCGCACCGGAGCCCTAAATAAGATGAGCTCCTGTGCTTCTTTTTATAAAAGGGAACCACAATTTAAAGGGGAAAAAATTTAGAATTCCTAACGTTTTATTTTAACAATAAGCAGACCTTGCAATACTCTATTTTCCTAGAAATACAAACTCATGAGACATTCAAGTAAAGTCCCCTCACTCACATGCTGAAACCTTTCCCTTTAAGAAAAGCAATAAATTTGGGGGGAGTTTGTTTAGGAACGCCTAAATTTCGTGCCATGTCATTATATCTAGTGTATTGTTATCAATGCGTACAATTAGTTATCTTCGCAGGAAGGAACTAACTGTAAGATAATTTGTGTTCTTAAATGTGCGTTAAGTGACAGGGAGTACAATAAGAGTGAAATACTGAGGTAAACTGCTCAAGCACGTCCTATACATCGCCTTTCCCACAGTATCCACTAATGGGGGGGGAAGCATAACCAGCAATTTTACATTTAGGAGTCCGATTCAGGACTCATTTACCCCTGACACCCATCTGCTTGATGGCTATAATTATATCAACAGAGAGCCACGGTCAAAGAGAACATTCTCTCTCGCCAAGATTTCCCTCATTTTTTGTTTCCACGCACTCATACCCTCATTCTGTTTCGCCCTGGAAATTTCATCAGCTATACTTAAAGTATATTTAATTTTTGTGATGATAAAAGAACTTCCCCCTACGATCAGAACTTAAATTGGGCCGGAACCCACCGGATCTCGGCTCCGATGCTTCTTAGTTTTTGTAATAAATCGTAATTCTAGCCAGAACACACCGGAGCCCTGAATAAGAAGGCTGCGGCACTTCTTTTATGTAATTGAATAAAAATGTTAGTAGAAATTTTATCTCGAAAATTTTATTTTAACAATAAAATTATATTAAAAATCGCGTATTAAATTTCAGTTATCTCTTCACATTTTATTTAATTTTAATTAGTTAATTACTTCAAATCTTAATTATTTCAATAAATAATAATTATCAGTTAAATATTAATTAATTATAGAATATATTGATTAAATAACAATTTATAAACATTAATTAAATCTATTAATTAATTTGATAATAATTAACTATTTAATTTAAAAATTACTAATGAGTTTAATAGTCATATTATTTATTTATTTACTCTTGTTCCTCTATGCTGACGGTCTTCCATAGGGCTCCTGCAATTCTAATCTTAGAAATTAAGCCCTGCTTCTGAATATTTTTTTTTTTTTTTCCCCATGGCAAGGAGGTAGATGTTCTGTGGTTTTATTCATATCTCTTAGAGTCTATCTAACATTGAGGTAAATATTTTGTGTATCGTTTAGCAAAATAATTTATCAAATCGCAAAACAAAACAGGTGTTTAGCAGAAGAGTGTAGATGTATGATAAATGAGTCATTTTCTGACATTGACATATGCGAGGTAGTACTAACATCGGAGACACAATCATGACTTATCATCCATTATTCTTAAATTCTATGAAGTGGTATAAAAAACTGTTTTTTGAATGGATGGGCATTACAATCATCAATGCCAGTATTCTTTATATATATATATAAAAAGAATAAAGACACCATTTCTGAAATCTGAAATGAGAGTTGTGGAATCAATATTTAAAAAACATGAAGATTACAGGGCCAAAAGGAAATTCACTGCGAGATCATCACCCATACCTTTAAGACTTTTGGGGAGACACTTGGTTACTTTAAATAAAAGTAAGGAAGCACTTCTGCAGAGAACTCAATAAATGTAAACACTGTAAAAATGGAGATAATAGTTCGAACATGATAAGCCATGTATTTGCTTGTTCAGAGGTATATATATTCTTTTTGACTTCTTACATTGCTGGTCATAATTTGGTACTTAGTATTATGACAGCTACTTCAATAGAAGTAGCCAAACCTTGCACAAACAGTTCTTGCAGTAACCATATCTGTTGCAAGCTGCAAGCCAAAAGTTCACTGAATCAACATTTTCTTCTTTAAAATTTGCTGTAAAACATAAGTACCCACAATTTTGCATGTTGTAAATTTATTCTTCATTTATTTACTATTATTTTGCCTAATTTTTGCATTATCTTCTCTAAATATATCTAAATATCTCTAATATCTCTAATATCTAATTAAAAAATATCTCTCTAATTAAAAATTCTCTAAATATCTCTAATATCTAATTAAAAAAAATAAATAGGTGGAATTATTTTCAGAGACAGATACTTGTCTGTAGTGGCACATCTCAGAAGGATTATTGCTTTCATTTAACACAATAAATCAACAGAGATTCTGATACTGCTAATTAAGAAGTATATAGCAAAAAAGAAATAACTATTATGATTGATGAGTGGCACACATGGCTATAATAGCCATAATGGATTATGGCTATAATAGCCATAATGTGCATCAGACTGCACATTATGGCACATCAGATGCACATTATGGCTATAATAGCCATAATGTGCATCAGACTGCTAATCATTTCACAAATTTTGTTAATCTGGCAACAGGCTAGAGACGGGCAAAACTTCTCCTTTAAGGGATCAGACCTGAACTGTTTGCTCACTGAAGTGAATCAGTTCTTTTCAAGATTCGTCGCTCACTAATAACGACCCCAACGAATGTGCTCAGAACAGGCGAGGATCAAGAGCAGTCTGTGTGCAAAGATGGGGAAAAAGCAGAAAGAATTGAACAAGGAGTGGGATCGTTAGAATTAACCAAACTGCTCACTCTCTTGACTGATTTCTTTCAACTGTATTTTTGAGACTCCGCTCCCCCCCCAAATTTCTATGCTAAAAGTTAAAAAATAATGAAAACTAAACTTACTTTTGTTAAAAATTACATTATTTTATTACTGTAATTGATATTTTGTTGCTACTACAAAGCACAGTGTAAGAATAAATTTTTAGATTGGGGGCAGATCCCAAAGAACAGGAAAATGTGTGCTGACAATACTGGTAATACTTTTTTTTTTTTATATAATTTTACAAAATGATACCAAATATCACTTGAGGTTCTTCTGTTTGGTAGGGTCCACATTTTGTTTTGCAAACTTGAAAAAATACATTAGATGGAAAAATTTATGTTTGTAAATATGTACTAATTCTAAAGAAGATTAAAGAGAAATTAACTGTTCTTGATTACAAGACGTTAGTAAACTAGTTAAATCAATAAAAATATAATTTATTATTTTACTTAAATATTACAGTAATATTGTATAAAAAAGGTATTACCTAATATACATAGTTATACTGTGACACAGTATTCAAAGAATTGAAATGAAACTCAAAGGAACAGCTCTGAGGAAGTGAAAAAAGCAAATAAGACTCTGCAGGAGCCTGAATTGTGGCTAAAGCAGTAATGATGAAAAAATAAATAATCACGACTCTGAAGAACCGAGATCTGCAACCAGCATCGAAGTGCTGAACAGCTGGAAATCCAAGGAACTTGTTCCTATAATCTACTTTCTTTAAATAGATCTTCACACTGTCAGAAACTCTCCATTTGCAAACATGGGTGGGCAGTTTTGCTGAAATGTGTCGGTTTATTTAATGCTTTGTTTTTTAAATACTAGATGTAACAGAAGTAAACCAAAAATATGTTATGTACATACATAACATACATGTACACATAAAAAATAGATCAGAGACGTTTTAGTAGATAATAAAGGAAAGAATGCTAGTGTTTACATTAAGAGAAATGAAATTTTTTGGCACACTCCCCAACAGCTCTCGGTGAACTGTTAAAGAACTGCTGTTCATTTTCCTCAGAGCGCTGATCATTCATTCAGTAAAGTGAATTGGTTCTGGAGTGGATCATCCATTTCTAACTGGGGCACATGCACAGTCCACAGAATCAAACAGGGGGCCTCTGAAAGTAAAATTATGAAGAAGTGTTTTTAATGAGGAAAGTCTAGCTGATCCTTCTACTAGAAGTCTAGCAGGCAGGTAGGCATGCACAAGGAAAGTCTAACTGGGGTCTAACTTCACAAGAGGTTAGTATGTGGATATTACACCCCGATGCCCCCCAAAAGACGACATTTACTACCAAAGAAAGACTTCGGCAGTTCAAGGTGATAGCGATTGGATTGTGTAATGTGCCAGCAACATTGGAAAGCCTCATGGAGACCATGTTGAGAGGTCTTTCCTACGAAGCCTGTCTGATATACCTGAAAGACATCATCATCATCTTGGGGAAGAGTTTAAAAAATCTTAGGTGCTTGAGAAACTGAAAGAAGCCGGTCTAAAGTTAAGTACAGCTAAATTTAAACTATTCAGATGGAAGTAACTTACCTCGGATGTGTCATCTCTGCTGAAGGTGTGTTTACAGATCCAGAAAAAGTGTCACAGTTAAAGACTGGAGACGCCCGAAAATGTTCATTAGCTGAGAAGTTTCTTTGGGCTTTCACCTATTATAAGGGATTTGGGAAGGACTTTTCTTCCATTGCAAGACACCTTCACAAGTTACCAGAGACCAAGCAAAAGTCTTAAAGAATGTGAGGATTCATTTAAACAACTGAAAGAGGCTTTAACATTTGCTCTAGTCCTGATGTATCCTCATCTTGACAAACCATTTATTCTTGACATGGATGCAAGCAATGACACAGTCAGTGCTGTTTTGCCCCAAGAAATAAACGGTCAAATACGTGTCGTGGCATACTAGAGCAAGTGTCTATGTAAACTGGAGAGGAACTACTGTGTCATCAGAAAAAAGTTGCTCAAAATAGTTAAAGCTGTAGAACATTTCCATCATTCTATCTATGGCAGTAAATTCTTGATTCCATATCATGTGTTGTTGACCTGGCTTTTAAATTTCAAGAATCCATAAGTCCAAATAGTCAAATAGATACAGAGACTCCAGGAGTATGACATAACTATCCGGTCATAGAAAGGGATCATCACATGGAAATGTTAAAGCCTTGTCTAGAAGACGACCCTACCCACAAAGCTGCTGATATTGCATCAGGGTTGAAGCGAAATAAGACCTGCTTAATCTGGTCATACATCAGGTTATGAATTAAACATTGTCTGATCCAGACCTTTGGAGTGCCGAAGAAGTCAGAAAAGACCAGTTGTAAGATGGTGACATTAAACCGATAAATGACTTAATGGAGTCTTCAAACAGAAAACCTACTTGGCAGGACAATTTGATCTGTAGTCCTACAACAGAACTATATTGGACTCCCTGGGACTCGCTCCATATTTGAAACATCATTTTGTACTGGAAGTTTGAATCCGATGATGGGAAGGCATTCCGATAGCACCTGATACTTCCAAGATCCCGGGGGGTCCTTAACCCTTTTGACCCAATTTTTACATGATTAAAATTTAATATGAAAAGTAGTTAAATTTAATATTGACATACTAAAAAGTGTAATGAGTTTAAAGTTTTAAACTTTTCTCGTTTCTTGGAAATCTCCTGGGATAGTATGTCCCAATTGTATTGTCAACTGGGATATTGGTTCCAGTTGTCTAGGATATTGTGATAATAACCTTACACTGCATGTGAATAAATAATAAAGTTAAATGAAATGTACCGAATATTTTATTCTTACAGTGCAAGTTAAGTATGATATGGCGTAAAGCAATCTTTACAAAGGGCAACCTGACACATTTGGCAAAATAGGCCATTTTTCTTTAGTCATAAATTTTTTCCCTAATTTCTTAAAAACACTGCAAATGTAAAAACCCATTTAAAAGTGGGTTTCATTTAGCCAATAGGGAATGAAATCTAATCTCTGGGACATATGTGCTCATTGAGACTGAAAGGGTTAAAGAATTACATAGCAGTCCAACAGGAGGCCACTACAGAATAATGAAAACCTTGCATAGAATTGGAGAGCAATTCTTTTGGAATAATGCAAGGGAAGATGTGCAAAAGTGGTGCCAATCTTGTGATATCTCTGCGGGTCAGAAAGGACTGAAGACATGCAGCTGAACGCCTTTCAAACTTATTGCCTTTGACATTTTGGGTCCTCTGTCACAAACTGCAAATGCCAAAAAACACATCCTCGTCATCACTGATTACTTCACAAGTGGCCTAAAGCATATCCTGTTCCTGATCAAGAGGCTGTCATGCTAGCAGAGATAATGATACACCATTGGATTTTTAGGTTCGGAGTGCCTCATCAATTACATTCCGATCAAGGAAGAAATTTTGCCTCGACTGTAATTAAAGAACTGTGCAAAGTACTCAGGATCGACAGAACGCAAATGACACCTTTGCATCCCCAGTCAGATGGAATGGTAGAGAATTTTAATCGAACCATCCTCAATAACCTTTGGCTCGTGGTTTCCAAAAACCAACAGGTCTGGGACAAGAAGTTATGTTGGTTTGTACTGGTCTATCATAGTGCCATCGAGACTACTGGCTATTTCCCATCCAAGATGCTTTTTGGTCATGACCTTCATCTGCTTTGTGATCTCCTTTTGTTTGGTCACCATCTGGATTCACCTTCATCACCTGAGGAGTACATGCAAAGATCAGCGTAATATTCATAAATTTGGGAAACCAGTTTCAGAAGTTTAAATATAGAATCTTTGAAACTAGTCCTGAAAATCGGTGAATATTATGCCGATTCTTGTTACTTGAACTCCTCCAAAAATCCTTATTCTGCATGTTATTTTAACTTAAACTTTTATGTTAGATTGAATTGGAAACACAACCTGTGCACCATGAAGTTTGAGTATTTAACACAAAAGGTTATTTAAACTTTTGCCCACATTGGAGTTGTTTTATTAAATGAGTGATAAGTCATCTGACAGTCTCTCAAGAAACCAAGTTTAATTCTATGAGTTATTGATTCTCTATATTGGCGCTCAATGTAAAAAAGGGTGCCTCATGATTCAGCCACTTTCAACTTGCGAAGTTTCTCAACTGCAAGTTTTCAAATTGGTGGAATGTCTGCAAACCTGATGTCATGATTTAGTTATACTCTAGATGCTATGCAAGCATTGATATTTGATGAAAGTACCCATCAGTTTTAATGGTAGAAATTGTATTTTGACTTTGAAAGGTCTTGAGAACTGATTCCACTTATATCCAATGGGTGAGCAGTAAAAGGTTGTCATAGCAGCATAAGGACAAATCTTAATTGATTTAAAGGCATTGTGGTTTAAGTTTATGTAGGAATTTATTTATTCGAGAATCAGAAAAGCATGTGCAGGAAATAAGCATTTGTATAATAAATAACTAAACTAATTTAATTCATGATTAATTATGTCAGCTTATGATAGAATAAGACAAAATTCAGTAGGACAGCATGTCTTTAGTCACCAATCTCATGATACATTACCAATGGTGTATAGTGTGTGCTCGCTAAGCTTTATGATGACAGCTGCAAATTTGAGGTTTTTGGATATCGCAAACAAAAAATGAAATTTTCCAGTTAATGGAATTTGTGAAAAAAATATGGAAAAGTGGTAATAAACGAAGATAGCAGGTGTTTTTCAATGCAATGACAATGCCCCAATCAACAAATGGACGGTGAAATCTGTAGTATGGTTGTAAATCCAGACAGTATCACTACTGATATTGATGAAAGCATCAAATAAGCTGTTGAAAACTAGATATTTCAGTTGATAATTTAGTGGGAATTCTCAGTATAGCATATTACAAGACTTGAAAATGGAACTTTGTAACTGAACAAAAAATTGTGTCCATCTATAGAATTAAAGAGAAAGTACAGTCAAAAGTCGTTAATTCGGACACATGATCTATAATCCGGACCTCAAAGCTAAAAACTTTCTGTGCCTGCGCCGCGTTGACACATGCGCATAGGCGTTTACGCATGCGCGTAAGACCTTTACGCGCACGCGCATATGCGTGTGCGCAAGTGCAGAATACGTTTTCGCGTTTAATGTATAACGGACGGTATAAGCTGAAATTATACAATTATCTATTTCAGTTAATGTTGATGCTTGCGTTATTCCTTAATCTTCGAATTGGATGCAGCTTATTATTTTTTGCAGACTGTAAGAAAATAAGACTGTAAGAAGTTTTATAAAAGTAAACTTGAACTTTCGATTATGTCAATTTCCGATTCTGGAGCTCCCAAAGGTTCTACAAAACGAAAGTATGTCTCGATGTCCGTCAAAGAAAAAGTGGAATTGCTGCAAAAAATGGATAAAGACATGAAGAAGGTGACAGAGAGGTTAGTGAAAACGAAAAAATTTCGATTGACAAGTTAGTCGGTATTCTCGGCACAGCAATTACGGGACTTGAACAGTGGAGCTTTTTAACTGAACAAGAAATTATGTCTTTATAGAATTAAAGAGAAAGTATTATCACATAAAACGAAACAACTTGCATTGAAAGAAATGTTTAATAAAGTAAACAAATAAATATTAAGGTTCTTTTTTTGTAAATTTTGATACCCTTTAGATCATAATTGTTCTTTATTTCCTAAAATACGGTTTCATATTTTTAATTTTAGAATTTGTGCATGCCATCTTACGAGATTTAAACTGATGATCTATAATCCGGAAAAATCGATAATCCGGAATCGCCGAAGTCTGACGAGTCCGGATTAACGACTTTTGACTGTATTAGCAAAAAATGAAGCAACATAAACAATTTACATTGAAGAAAATATTCAATAAAGCAAACAAATAGTATTGAGATATTTTATAAATTTTGATTCCCTTAAGGGGCTAAATGTTGCATTATATCGTAAACCACAATTTCATATTTTTAATTACATAATTTCTACTTTTCATCGTACTGGATTTAAACTGATGATATAATATCCAAAAAATCCCAAATATGGAATCGCCAAAGTCTCGATGAATCAGGATCTTGCATTTTGTAGTGTTTTCAATATTTTGCTGAATTTTTTCTTTATGAATTTTAGAGTGTATTATTAATATATTTTATTATCTCTCTTTTATTGGTGATATCTTTTCAAACTCTAAATTAACATGTTTTTTGCATCATGTGTTAAATAGTATAATTGAAATTCTTTTATTTTTTTCTTTGTAGTTATTTTTAAATGCAGCCATGGATTCAAATGTAGTAGTTCGGAAGCAAATGATACAGTCATTAACTGCAGTTTTAGGTAATTACTATGATAATTCTTTGGTTCAAATGTACTGGATAAAGTGTATCTTTCCACTTGTGAAGGACCCGGAAACTGGTGTCCAAGTTAAAGCTCTGATGGCTATGGAAGAACAATTTTTGCAGAACATTTTTTCAAATGATCATACAGAAAGAAACATTGCTTTTAGTTTATTAAACCATCTATCAAATGGCCAACTTCTATCATACAAGAGATATCTTCAGAAAGCTTTTAATAGTTGGAAATCAGAGAACAGACTAAGGTAAGTTTAAATTATGAGGACCTATTTTTTATTTTACTGTTCATATATAATCCCTCTCTACTAGTTTTTTATTGTTGAAATGTTTTAATATTATTGCAAATTGTTTTGTTGGAAAAAGCTTGTATTTTTTTATGAGAAGTGACCTTAAACTAAGTTTCATATATCATTTCATTTGATTTGAAATCTTATTTTAAAAAGATTTGATACTTTCTGATTATCTGGAGACACATGAATAGTAAGCAACTCTTTGGCAACTTTGTGAATTGGCAAAAGATATTTGGCTATATTTACAGCTCATAGATACTATTCTGAGAGGCCTTGTGGTGCAGTGGCTAGCACATCGCACAGCAGCACCACAGGTCCGGGGTTCAATTCCTGGGCTGGGCAAGGTTGGCTCAGACTTTCATCCCTTGGTTTCCATCACTTGGGTCGATCAAATGAGTACCAAGTTCGCTTGGGGACTAAACACTGGGGGTCCTGAATTGTTCAAATTTCATTCCTTTCTGAATTGAATTATTTTATTTCTTATCGATAGCTTATAAACCACAATAAAATAATACCACACACATTGTAGAAATAACACACTCTAAATTTCAATATATTTATTTCCCATAGCGACACTCGGGCGTTAGGCTCCTTTCTTACAGCATCACATCTGAATCGTAACTGGGAATGTACAAATTATGTATTATTTGAAGAAACCACACATTCTATTCAAACTATAATAAATCTAAAAAGAAATTAAACAAAATAAACAGTTTCTCACAGATGATAATTCAGCGCTGCTTCTAGTGCACATGTTCTGTTAGTCAACATTCTCTTCTGTCGGAGACAGACTGATGCTAGTATTTCTCAGCTAATATTAATACATACACTCCCTACTCCTAGTGATTTACACTGTAATTTTTCATATTAAATTTGATTTAATCTGAATTGTCTTAATCTAGTCTACATATTTACAGAACTTTATATGCAAATTCAACCAGTGTTTAATCAGTAAATAGTTGTATTTGATTTTGTTTTACATGAATGTATGATACATTATTAAGTTTATCCACACAATAGTATGTACATTAATTAGGAATTGTATTTTCATTGTATTTAACCCGCGAAAACACGCGTCGGGCATGCGAGGCCCGGTCTTTACAAAAATGTAATACACAAATTTCACCAAAGAATGAAATCTTCTCAGTAGCTGCGTTTAAGGTCATGTACTTGTCGTTCACAAGCATTTCCGGAATTTAACCCTTCATCTTTTCTCAGAAACTGAGAAACGGGCTTCCCAGGCCCGAGGTGCGCTCGCATTGTCATTTAAAATTGTGAAAGAGATCAGGCAGTTGCGAAAAGGTCTTGCTATTTGAGCTATGACGATGAAATTAAAAGAATACAGAAACTATTAGCCGAAGTGTCGACTGACGAAGATACAATTAATGAAGAGGACGAAGAAATAATTGGTGAAGAACAGTTTAGTGATCACCAATCGAATTCTGAAGAGGCTAGACTCAAGCATAAATATAGTAATTTTGTGTCCGTCAGCGAATTGTTATCTTGGCAAATATAATGTGACAAAATGGAATAAAGAAGAACTAAGACTTGCTGTGAGAACTCTTGCTCACAGCATTGTGCGAAAATTGCTCGGAAATGTTTGTGAAGCAAAATTTGTGTCCTCCCCCCTATGAATTCTTGGCAACTGCTTATGAATAAAATAATAGTAAAAATTCTAGTAGATTGTGCAAACATTTATATCGAATCCATCGCCGTCAAATTTTAAAGATAGAGAGATGCTCGATGCACAAATATTACAGAAATCAGAGCATTTATCGGTCTTCTTTATTTTGAAGGACTCCACAAGGTTTCTCACATGAATGTTCTCAACCTTTGGGTGACTGTCGGAAATGCTTAACATTTTTCATCAAACAATGTCTAACAAACGTTTTTTTATTTCTAATGAGATGTTTGAGATTTGATGACATAAGAGATCGCTTTTCTAGAAGGGAAATAAATAAACTGGCTTCGATAAGATATGCCTTTGAAAAGTTTGTTGGAAATTGCAAAAAAGTTTACAGCACTTTGATAATTTAAAACCTTTCTTCTCTACTCAAAATTTTCTCAGTGTAAAATTGTAAGAAAATTACAAAATGAAATTAGCCAAAGAGTAAAATATTTAAACCATATAATTAAATATTAATATTTCAATATTATTTTTATATTTTATGTCAGAATCATAAGTAGTTAAATAATCTGAATTACCGTATTTGATGGCATATAAGATGCACTTTTTTCCCTAAATTTGGTCTCAAAAAAAGTTACCTGCATCTTATACATGAAAGACACAGGTTAATTTTCAATACTGAATGCTATTTTTAGCCCGTATAAAGGTCTAGACACACATAACTTTTTCTACATCTACATGTGTGTGGCCTTCTAAATAAGGGTGCGTCTTATATGTTGTCAAATACGGTATGTGTTATAAAGCAAATTTAAGCATAATAAAGTTTGGAGTTGATATGAAATACTGCCACCATGCAGTACAAAGGCCTCCCAGAAACTTCTAATTTTGGGATACAAGAAACTTCCAGTTTTTCATATTTCAAGGCTGGCAGTTAAAGGGATTTAAAAAAGACTCATGTGTTTTCAAGTATAAAATTTGTAAAGCATTAAATCAGACATGCATGGTGTAATAATATTTGAATTTTATCTGTTTGATAAATATTGCATTCAGTATTTAGAGAAAGACTGACTGTTCCACACGTTCAATAAAGGAACAGTGGTTAGTCACCTTGAGGTTTCATCAGCCATTTCTGTAAACAAGTTGGCAGATGGTGAATATCTCCTTTGTTAAAATCTCAGATTCATCAAAATTAACAACAGTGATCTAGTATTTTCAAAACATTTAATAAAGCATTAAAGTTATAACCAAATTTTACAGCATTGTACAAAATATGCTCAATTTATGTAGCTACAATCCTAAACCAAAGCTTTAGAGTCCGTTTTAGTCTCAGTTAGAGAGGTGGTAGAAGAACGTTCACAATATTCTCTGCCTTTTGAGATTCAGAGATTTATAACTGAAGTTTAAGAGTTTTTAAAGTCACAGCCTCATTCATTGTCTCTTTTTCAAAAGACATAGAGTCATTGAACTAGAATCACTGGTTATTACTCTGGGATCATTCCTCTTTAACAGTTTGTCATTGTCTTTGACTTTTAATGGATATGATTTCTCAACAGGTCCCATATTTAGGCTTGACTTTTGCCACACCTACATTTCCGTCTTTACCAGGATACATTTTAATCAATTTTACTAAGCACCAATTGTTGAAACACCTGCTTCTTTTATTTCTTACAAGGATTATTGCAAAGCCTCGAGAACTATCTACCTAAGGAGAAGGATGCCTTCGTGGAGGTCTTTCTAAGGGAAACTGGCTCATAAACACATTACACATGGGGAAAACCACAAAAACACCCATGCAATCAGCCCATTTGTAGCATTTGAACCTCCGACCGAACTACCAGTGTTCAGTGAATTTACTCCTAGGCTGTCGGCGGGCAGAATGTTAAGGGTCTAAAATCATTGCTATCTTCAGATCTTAAAGGGTCTGCTATTCATGATATTTTCAGCATCACAGAGCACTATGTACAGGTCTTCATGATCCAGATGAGCGTTTCCTAAAACACACCTCGGTATCTTTTTTTAACATGCTATTAGATGCTTCCAAAAGCCACCCAACCAGGGTGCTGATTATGGATTGAATTTGCAGGCAATTTTCTTAAACAATGTGAATTCTTGCAATCTAGATCAGTCAATATATTTCAGTTCATTAGCCCACTAAATTGATTCCATTGTTGGAATAGGTAACGATAGGGTAGCCTCTTTTCTCAATATATCTTCTGGATGCTAGATCAAAACTATCCCTAGACAATGATGTTACTAGTTCAGTATGAATAGCTCAGTAAACAGCACAAATACACAATGCTGTCCAACTCTTAGATCCACTTTTTAAATGCAGGGGACCACAAAGATCTATTCCTATGACTTCAAAAACTAAAGCTTCTTTAAACAGTTTTCTGGTAAAAATGCTGCAGATTCATTCACAGGTTTCACATTATGCCTTTTACAAACATAGTTTGTCTTTATGATTTTGTTGACTGTTTTCCTACTCTTCAGTTTCCAATAATCTTCTCATAAAGCTGACATTAAATATTGTACATTGGCATGTGCCAGTTCTTGGTGTTTCTTAATTAAGCTTTTAATAATGTGGTGATTGGAAGCTAATACTAAAGGAAGTCTAAATTTTTTTTCATCTTTTAGCATAAAAACCTTTGTCTTCACTCTTAATAATCCTTCTGAATTGGTAATTATTGATAGAGACTGTAATTGTTTGTCATCTTTTCGAAGTGAAGAGTCTTCTTGGACCTTTCTTTTAAATAATCTTTTCTGCTTTTACTGTTTCACCTGCTGTTAGTAGTGATCTTTGGTTTTTCTCAGTAGCTTTCTAGTATTCTTGAAGAATCAATAAATCCATGTTGTGATTCTAATTACCTTTGTGTATGACATTATTTGATAGAAGAAATCTGCTTTCTCTTCAGTTATAGAGGATACTATAATCTTCTTCCTTTCTCAATTTACAGTTTCTTTATTTGGCATCAGTTAAAAATTCGGCCATTCATCTCTTGAATATTTTAGCCAGATAGGATCATCATTTTCCTCCAGCTGATTTTTTTGCCAAAGATCCTCAAGATGGAAGATCAGCTGGATTTTGCACTCCAGGTACATAGTTCCATTGATGGGTTGATATCAAACTTATGATTTCTGTCATAATATTAGAAACAAATATGGCCCAGTTATCTTTCTTTTTGATCCAATAGAAGGCATCTGTTGAATCAGACCAGAAGAATGTTCCTGTATTGTCTAGTTTCAAATCCTTTCTAACTGTAAAGGTTCTAAACCTGATAATCTTCAAGGAATTTTAATCCTCTTGATTTCTGATTTTTCCATTTCTCGT